GCATTGTTTTGCCTTCCATATGCCATGAGGCATAATGAATTTAATGGAGGGATGGAGAGAGAGAGAGAGAGAGAGAGAGAGAGAGAGAGGAAAGAGGTGTGGGTTGGGTGGCTGTTTGCTTTCTTCCTAAGTTCTCCGAAGGGGCCAATCTTGGTCTCAGCCAAGCCTGAGCTATCAGCCTCCTTCAGCCATTATGCTGTCTCTGGATTTATGGTGGTCATGTAAAAGCACTGATTTACAGTAAGCAACTGAAAACTGGCTATACAGGAAAAGCAGTTTTGGGAGGACTGTATCTTTTGCTCCTCTCTGCCCTTTAACAGACCTCAGACAGGTTTGAATTACTGGTGTAGAGGTTCGTTCTGCTTTCAGTATAGGGGGTCTGTCCCCAATGCTCTGTGTAAATCTGTTAAGGACCTTTCCTCAAGTGTTTATAACATTTCTGTCTTCAGGGCTGAGAATCAGGATGAATTATCTCCTATTTACGGCTTATCATAGTTCAGGAATTTAATAGATTCAAGTATTACAGAATTTATAACCTAAGAAATGATTTGGTATATAATGTGCTTGTGGAATTATTTTATATGTGTGTGTGTATACACACACACACACACACACACTATGCTTTAGGAAATATGCTCCTTCATTTCATTATAGTGGTGTGTGTTGCAGTTTGCTCAACTCCTTTTTTTACTATTGTGTCAGCTGTTTCTGTGTCTCCTTCTCCCTTTAGGCCATTTCAACCTGGTCATTTCTAAAAGCCAGAAGAGAGAGAGAGGTAGAGAGAGTATCTAAATAAGTTAATAGAATTTCATGTGTGCTATGACATTGAAATTGGGCTTAATAGAATCGTCAACAAATTTTTCATTTTAGTGTATTTTTTCTCTGGATTCAAAACCGGTTAACTTCTACTCACATTTTGTCACATTTTATAGTGCTTATATTTAAAACATTACACTTTGGAATATCTGGCCTTTTATTATTAATGCTTGCCTCCCTATTTTTTTAAGAAAAAATCCAATTATACTTGAAGTTTATAAAAAGTCAATATTCAAAAATTAATTTCACAGATAACTTTTTCAACATGACCTATTGCACAAAGTGTAATAAGAACACTGATTTTTTTTCAGAGATTTGACCTGTGGTTCACATTTAAAAGTCAGACATTCATTTTATGGAGTTGCTCATCAAATTAAATTTTATTTGGTATGTCAATGTTTTATAGTGTTATATTGTTATTGGTCAGAATACATGTGTTAGTAAAACATAAATCTTGTTCTCTGGCAAGAAATCTAACCATGAATGGTTAACTTGACTGGTATCATTCTAAATTTCAGGACTCCCAGAAAAGTATGGACTAATTGGAATTGTATTAGGACTAGGATTCCTCCAGAGGGAAGCAATGGTATATTTTTCTAATAGTTTAGAGACTATACTTTTTGCATTTTTTTCCATTGTGGGAGAGAAAAAAAAGAAAGATTATTGGCTCTCAAACTCTGGCAAGTAGCTCTGTATCTTACTAATTTGCTAAGCCAAACAGTCCCTACTTTGAGGAGCTTACTTGAAGGGGTGCTTTAGAGTCTGACTTACCTTCCATGGTTCCAGTGGGTGCCCAGTAAAAATAGTCATCATTCTGTATTATGATACCTCAGAAATCAGTCTTATTTTATTTACAATTTGTAGGCTGATGACTTTCCAAAGATGATTACAAGTATCATTTTTTACAGTAAGTTTATAACAAAAAAAAAAGTCAGAGTAAAAAAAATTGTCTTTAATGTAAAAAAAGGGTAGAGAAAATGTAACAGCAACCAGAGACCAGGGACAAGATGTTTATAAAAATTTAATATTAAATTTAGCTCTGACATTCATATCCTATTATATTGTTATTTAGTTTTTCCATTGGTTCAGATTTTTATATATTTATGCCATTTCTTTCCCAACTAAATTTAAACTCCAAGAAGGAGAGATGTCTCATACTTTTTTGTTGTCTTCTGTATCCATCACAGTACCTTTCTTGAACACAGTAAATACTCCAGAAACATTTTTATTTGTTCTGACAATGTATGAATATTCCATGCATTTTCATGAATTTAGAAAATATTTTAAATAATTGAGGGACTACAAACTTGCTTCCTTAAGTATATATTTAATCTACATTTTCTGGCTACACTACTCAGCTCTCAAAATGGATCCTAGTGATGACAATTATATCTAAAAAACAATGCTCATAACTTTTGATGCATCAATGTCTCCCCCAGCACATCTCTGGGGATTTAACCTATCTGTAGGTACTTTTTGTAAAACTTTTTGTTAGAGCTGTGGCTTTACATGCTACAGAGCTGAGTTTCTAAACCTTTTATGGATCATCTTAATGCTCTAATTTTCTTATGAACTTCTTCATATGCTGACACTATTAATTACTTTGTCTTTTTGTTCAGAGATGTTACTTTTCTTATTTTAAACTTTTAGTAGGTGAGAAACAACTTTGAGAATGCAAATATTTCTTTTTCCAATTCTTTCCTGAACTTGTTGGCAAAGCATGTACTTCTTTTCACCTGTTTTTAAGAGTGTATTTCCTTCATCAAGAATATTTATAAACTTCCCTAACTTTAAACAGGTCAGACTGAAATTGGGCCCTCTACCAACCGACTAAAAGATCTAGAATTCACCAAAAGCACAAATGGAATATAGTCCATGGAATAAAAAACTCTAGTTGTCATAGAATGGCCTTGACCTCAGTTATCAATCATGAGGGTGCATGAAAACACTGAGGAAAGAGTAGAGAACATCACTACTGTTTCTAACAGGATATTCCAATATCAGCTGCAGGAATTTTGTGTGCTCCTGTTTTTACTTCATTAGTAATTCAATATGTCTGATTTGCCTACACAATACTTTCAACTTAGTTTACCCATCTGACCTGGAACAAAGTGAAAGCACATTCTGCCCAGTTGAAAGGTCTCCTGGCAAGTTGGTTAGCAACAGGCTTGCCAGTCTCAGTTCAGTTAGCAAAGAATAAACACACTTCACTTGACAATTACTAGTGTACTAACTTCCTCACTCTGCAGTTTTCTATTTTCTATTCTTAGAACAGTTTTCCCCCTTGTTATTCAACTTTTTACTTGTAATTCTTGCCTCTTCAACAATATTTCCAATTTCTTGAGGTAGAGGTTTCTACTTTTCTTGGTGGCCGTGATGAACACAGTTTAATTGCAAAGAACAGGAATCGAATAAAAGTTTATTTGAAGGGAGGGAGAAACAATACAACAGTCTTAGATCTTCCCTCCATAGTTTAACTTTGTGGCTTGAGACGTACCAATTAAGAAATCAGGCTATGGCTTCTGCAAGTATCACTTTTACTGTAGTTCTCTAGAATTTGGTCAGTCGGGAATGGCTACTTGTAACACTGCAAATACACGTGACATGAGGGTTCTGCGAGAAATACAGGTGCTCCGCCGTGTCTGACAAGACGCCCTGAGAATGACGCCCAGAAACTGCCCGTCTAAGCCGGTGGCGTCCGCTGAGCCCGACGCGCACCTGCACCTGCTGACGGGGCAGCGCGGGACGGAGCGAGGACGTCCCTTAGTCCTACCCTCTGCGCTCTAGGAGACGAGGGCCTGGGCGTCGTCACCCACAGCAGCCGGAGCAGAGGGAGCCACCTAATGCCGGACTCAGGTCATGTGTGTCCCGGGTGCTCTGCCTCCGCGGATACCTCCGCAACTTCCAGCAGCCCAGCCCCACTACGTTCAAAACTGTATTTATGGTTGTCAAGGCGCACACCGAAAAGCTCGCTCCGCACCCCCAGAGCGCGCGAGGCCTCCTAGCCTGGAAACAAGCCCCTCCCAGTGCAGCTGTCGCCGCCGCCCGCGGGCTCCTTTCACTTTCTCACGGCCAAGTCCCCCAGAGGGGCGCCGCTGCCGCCACCGCCGCTGCGCCCTCCCGCCGACTCCGCCCGTACCGCCTGGCTACCAGCCCCGCCCGCTCGGGCCCGCCCTCCCCAACAGTTTCTGCCTGCGATTGGCACCCGCGAGAGGCAGCTCCGGTTCGCCCATCCCATTGGCTGGGCCCTCTTGTCAGTCCTACGATTGCCCGCCACTGTCTCCGCCTCCCTGAAAAGCCGCCCTCCTATTGGAGGAGACTGCTTGCAGGGGGCGGGCGGGGAACCCGGTCCGGCCGCTTTCGGTCAATCGCAGCAGCCCAGCGCCGGGAGGGAGGGCGGCGGGGGGGGGAACATCTGGCCGGCGCCGCCGCGTGCGTGCGTGGTGCGTCCCCCCGCCCCTCCCCCCGGCCCCCCCCCGCCCCCCGGCCCGGGCTCCTCGCTCGCTCCTCGCTAGCTCTTCGCTCGCTCGCTCCCTCGCTGTGTCTGGCAGGCTGCGGCCGCCGCTGGGCTGCTGCCATGGGGAGCCGTTGAGAGTGGGGCCTCTTCGCTCCGCCGCGCTCCTCCGGCTGCCAGCGGGGGTGGGTGGGCGGGAGGGAGGGGGCAGGGGGAGCGGGCGACGGAGCCGGGATTGGGGGGCGGGGGGGCCGGGAGGGAGGGAGGGGGACCCGCGGAGGAGGAAGCCCACCAAGTCCGGCGGCGGCGGCGGCCGGGAGGCGGAGGACGCGGCGGCGGTGGGGACGCGGTGACTTAGGGCCGCTCCGTGTGAGTCCCGGCGCCGGACCCGGCCCCGACCCGGCGCCCCCTCCGGGCCCTGGAGGGCGGGGCGCCGGCTGTGCGGCCCCGGCCGGCGGGGCAGTGCGGGCGGGCGGGCGGGCGACCGGGCCCCGCGAGTGGAGTTAGTTTGTTCGGGTGGAGCTAGGGGTGCCGGGGGGCGCCGCAGCGGCGGGGGCCGGGTGCGGGGCCGGGCCGCCGCAGCTGCGGGTCGGGCGGGGTGCGGCCGGTGCAGCTGCGGCTCGGGGCGCGCTCCGGCCGGTGCAGCTGCGGCGGCGCCTCTCGGGGGCGGGGGACGCGGGGCGGGGGCTTGGGAGCGGTGCAGCTGCACGGCGCCGGGACGGCCGTGGCTCCGGGGGCCCTTGCAGCTGCGGCGGCGCCCACGGGGAGGCCCCTCCCGGGCCGGGGCAGTTGCCGGGGGCTCGCGCCGCGGCGGCAGGGAAGCAGTAGCAGCCACCCTCCCCCGGCTTCTTACGACTTTTCTTTTGTTGTTGCCGTGACCCGGGTCTGTTTTCTTGTCTGTTGTTTAAGGTGTTTTCCTGCTGCACCGGCTCTACGCCCTCCACCTCCTTCCCTGTGGTTTAACCTTCCTCTTTCCCCTAGTGTTTTATGCACAGCCAACTACGTAAAGATTTGCATTTCTTCCCCCCTCCCTGCTCCGCACCCCCGCCCCCACCTCCTTGAAAAACAAAACCCAACCTCGCAAAACCTCTCCGGACCTGAGGCTGCGAGGCGCAGAGGGGCTGATTTGTGGAGTGGGAGTCGCTGGCCCATTGCAGTGCTCGGGGCTCATTAAACTGTCACTCGCCCCCCACCCCACTGGGTAAATGGGGTGATTAATGTCTGATATGTTGGAATGAGGCGAGGGCATTTGTGCAGAATAGGTGGTGTGGCTGAGAAGGAATTTATCCCCAAAGAGTGCCCCCTGAAATAGGCATTCGTAATTATGTCATTCATCGCGAAGTTAGAGAAAGTTGGGTTTGCGACTTTGGGAAAGCAAGAAGCACAGGATAGAGACCTTGGTCTTTGTTACTCTTTATTTAACTCTTGGTCATGGTTTTCTAATGAGAGCGGAGCGGTTATCACCAGGACTGTGACACTTGCGCCTCAGGCCCCAGCGCCTTTTCTGCTGCACTCTCCCACAAGAGTCTGTGGAGACTTCGACATTCACAGATGTCGCAGCCCCTTGCAGGGCACTGGTCAGGCCAGCCCGGGTTACGTTACAATTTCATCAGCCATTCGAAAAGACCCGCAAATCTAGCTGAAAAGTTCCCCAACTTGCTAGACCTGGCTTCCCCCACCCCTTCCCCCTTTCTCCCTGAAAGGTTTTCTTGTGATCATGAACATTACAGTGACCCAAAAAAAGATTGTTATGGGACACAGATCAAGGGGAAGACCAAGTTCTCTTTCTGAGCAGAAAGTCGGATCAGATACGCAGATGCAGCATTCATTTTAAGTGGCTGTAGCAGGTTGTATCTGTTTATTAATTTGTCTCATTGAACTGAAGTACTTTCCAGGATTTCAGAAAGTGCGGTTTCAGCTTGTTGATATTGAGAGTTGAAATTTGCATTAACTGGCAGGGTGAGAAATTTTACTGAGAAGGTAGTTTTAGATAAGTAGTTATATAAGAGTGAAATAATAAGGTGAACCAGGTTGAAGTAGTAGTTCTGAATAGTCTTCCAGTATTCTGAGACATGTATACCATTATCTCAGCAGAAAAAAAAAAAATTGAAGTGCCGTAATAATGTTGAAATGGGACTGGAGATGTCAAATGGGTTGGTTTAAAAATATCCCTAAGCTGCCTTTGAAACTAAACGTTGGAGTTGAATAAAAGTGAATCTGGATTTCCTGAATAGCACCGTGGCTTGAGTGTGCTGTCAGTATGTAAGCCAGTCCACCAACTTAAGACAGAAGTGTTGCTATTCCATAAATACAGTAGAACTCCATATGCTGAGTTTTTCAATTTCTTCTGTTAGAAAGTTTGGAAAAAAAGGGAGACTTTGAAGTATTTTGTTTATACTAACAGAAGAGAAAAGTTCTCCTAAGAAAAAGCTGGTGGCAGGAGTGTAGAGGAGTAGCATATGGCATTAAAAGGAGCACAGCTGGAGGTAGCATTTCCATCTGAACATGATGTCAGAGCAGCTGACAGCCTGCCATCCCTCAGCCTTTTATTCTAACACACAGACAGGGAGTTAGTGTGTGCGGATCTGTGGTGGAGAAGGTATCTCATTCCTCTCTAACATCATCTCCACTTTGCATCTGTCTCTTAGTCTGCTTTTTTTCCACCGATGTAACAGACCTGGAGCCAGCAAGACTCAGAGGAAAGGACTTAATCAGGTTTATGTGTCCTAAAGGTAGGAGTAGCAAGAGATTAGATGGAGCATATTTCTGTTTTGGTGTTTATTTAATTTTAAAAAATCACATTACTTTTCTAATCCAGTTTAAGAATAAAATATGAACTTGAGTATTAAATGAACATCTTATTGGAGTTGAGAGTCTTGGGCTTGTTTAGTTTTAATTTCTATCCCTCTTGCTCGATCGGGTAAATAACTTTAATATGCAGAAATATTTCAAGTTTTGAAATGTTAAGAAAGGCTTTGAAATATTGCTTTTTGAGATCAATTTGGATTAAAATCCTTTTTTTGTTGTTGTTCTTCACTGCTATTTAGATTTCTTTTGCTTTTGGAGTCGGGGGTGGGGGAGAAATAGTAAACTGTATGGAATCCAGCATTCAAACTTATATGAGAAGATTTTTCTAGTTAAGAAGCTAGATTGTTGTGTAATTAATTCCACTGTGAAACTTTATTCTTCAAAACATTCAGCAGCACTACTGAAACATACAGCTGTAGTGCTTTTATAACCGAAGGGTTTTTTTAAAAGGAAAAAAAAAAAAACTTTTGTCCCCAGGAGAATAGTTTGGTTTCCTCATTTCTCTTTCAAATATATATTTAAGAGATCTTTTATTTCAGCATAACGATAATTATTTGCAGGAGTTTTTGTGTTAGCGACTAATTTAGAACTTGTAGATTTGAGCTGCCTGAATTGGCCAGACAGCTGTAATCGCACTCCTCTATTCTTAATCTCTTTATCTGGGCAGCAGCTGCCATATGGCCACAGTCAGCTGGATCAGATGTTTATAAGCTTCCTTCTTCGTCCCTCTCTGTCCTCTCAGCCTCCTAATTTGATCACGGCTACCTTGTGAGCTGCCCTCCAATCTTTATTTTTAGCCCTCTCAAGGATTAGGATTGATGTTAGCTGTGGGGCACTTGAAGTGATTGTATTGTAAATCTTGGTTTATTCTAGCGGTGGCGTCTTGCAGAATGTATTGGGTTAGGATGAAAGTTTTAGCCCATTTTGGGCAAAGTGTAGAAGAAGCAGGGAAGTGATTTTTAAATATTAAATTAATATGTATCCATTCCCCAAATGCACTTTTTGAGATGGATGGTGTGGAACTTTGCTTCTGGTCATAGGAAAGGGGAAGTCAGGTTTAAGGAGTTGAATTTTGTGGTTGAATTTTGACCCTTTGTACATCTGCATCTCTCCTGCCTCCATTTTACCCTCTTTCACCAGCAACAGTGCATATTTGAAAGAATAAAAGCTAGTGGGAAAACAAAATATATCAAATTATGTTGAAACAAAGTATTTTCTGTTGACTGAGGTATCGGGGAGTCAAAAGAATAGTTTCTCTTTTACTAGCAAGACTTTTTTTTTGTATGGTGAACCTGCAAAGCTTTTGAGTTTCATTTGAATGTAATATGCCTTTATTTAAAAGTTTGCATTAATTTTAATATGGAACTCATTTTGCTTTGCAACAGATCAAAGTTTAGATGAGAATTTTCAGAGTTAAATAAAGCCCTTCTGGTTCTTAATATTCTAGATGTACAGATTTTACAAAGAAATATAACCATTTCTTTTTCTCAATTCATTAAAAAAAATTTGGATTTGTTCATAGTAGAGATGATCTTTTCCATCTGTTGGTGTAGTTCCTTCTGATCTCATACATGTGTGCTATACCTGCAAATCTTAAGGCATTAACATCTGTTTTTATACACAGGGCTTTTGTTGTTTTAACACTCTGACTTTAAAAGTAAGTTGTTTGCTAATTTCTGGACTAATTATGCGGTTTCATTTTTTTTTTTCTTGATTCAGCCAAATGTGTGTTTAAATTGTGCTTGCTAAGTGCAGTCAAGTATCAAAAGTAATAAAATAAAAAAGGATGGTTGAACAAGTTTTCTGAATCTTCCAGAATGTGTTTGGGACTTTTCTTTGTTCATTATTTGAGTTGTTCCCTTTGAAATTAAAGCTATTTTGTAGGTTTTGTAGGACATAATTTGATGATTAGAGTTAATTAAATTTCTTCTGAAAGAGACCTAAATTCTTATTCTCAGTAAGAGACTGTACTGAAATTAACGCTTTTAAAACTTGACTAAAAGTTCAAGGAAGGTGGAGATGCATCAGAGACTGTTTGGCTGGGGTAAGAAGTTTCAAAAGTGTACATTTTTCTTCTTGCATTTGGTTCTGTGTGTGTGATTTGGTAGTGCTTGGGTCATTAGCCTGATTAAAATTCAGGGACATGTACCTCCGTGGCCCAAGCTGATTTTTTTTTTTTTTAATGGGGACTAGAGCCTTGAAAAGTTGTTCCTAAGCAGGCTCTCATGAGAAATTTCTCTCTTCCCAGGTTATGAAGACAGTATGGAGTTTCCAGACCATAGTAGACATTTGCTGCAGTGTCTGAGCGAGCAGAGACATCAGGGTTTTCTTTGTGACTGCACTGTTCTGGTGGGAGATGCCCAGTTCCGAGCGCACCGAGCTGTACTGGCTTCATGCAGCATGTATTTCCACCTCTTTTACAAGGACCAGCTGGACAAAAGAGACATTGTTCATCTGAACAGCGACATTGTTACAGCCCCAGCCTTCGCTCTCCTGCTTGAATTCATGTATGAAGGGAAACTCCAGTTCAAAGACTTGCCCATTGAAGACGTGCTAGCAGCTGCCAGTTATCTCCACATGTATGACATTGTCAAAGTCTGCAAAAAGAAGCTGAAAGAGAAAGCCACCACAGAGGCAGACAGCACCAAAAAGGAAGAAGACGCTTCAAGTTGTTCGGACAAAGTCGAGAGTCTCTCTGATGGCAGCAGCCACATGGCAGGCGATTTGCCCAGTGATGAAGATGAAGGGGAAGATGAAAAATTGAACATCTTGCCTAGCAAAAGGGACTTGGCGGCCGAGCCTGGGAACATGTGGATGCGATTGCCCTCGGACTCAGCAGGCATCCCCCAGGCTGGCGGAGAGGCAGAGCCACACGCCACAGCAGCTGGAAAAACAGTAGCCAGCCCCTGCAGCTCAACAGAGTCTTTGTCCCAGAGGTCTGTCACCTCCGTGAGGGATTCGGCAGATGTTGACTGTGTGCTGGACCTGTCTGTCAAGTCCAGCCTTTCAGGAGTTGAAAATCTGAACAGCTCTTATTTCTCTTCACAGGACGTGCTGAGAAGCAACCTGGTGCAGGTGAAGGTGGAGAAAGAGGCTTCCTGTGATGAGAGTGATGTTGGCACTAATGACTATGACATGGAACATAGCACTGTGAAAGAGAGTGTGAGCACTAATAACAGGGTACAGTATGAGCCTGCCCATCTGGCTCCGCTGAGGGAGGACTCGGTCCTGAGGGAGCTGGAGCGGGAGGACAAAGGCAGCGACGATGAGATGATGACCCCCGAGAGCGAGCGGGTCCAGGTGGAGGGCGGCATGGAGAGCGGTCTGCTGCCCTACGTCTCCAACATCCTGAGCCCGGCGGGCCAGATCTTCATGTGCCCCCTGTGCAACAAGGTCTTCCCCAGCCCGCACATCCTGCAGATCCACCTGAGCACGCACTTCCGCGAGCAGGATGGCCTGCGCAGCAAGCCGGCCGCCGACGTCAACGTGCCCACCTGCTCTCTGTGCGGGAAGACGTTCTCCTGCATGTACACCCTGAAGCGCCACGAGAGGACTCACTCGGGCGAGAAGCCCTACACGTGCACCCAGTGCGGCAAGAGCTTCCAGTACTCGCACAACCTGAGCCGCCACGCCGTGGTGCACACGCGCGAAAAGCCGCACGCCTGCAAGTGGTGCGAGCGCAGGTTCACGCAGTCCGGGGACCTGTACCGGCACATCCGCAAGTTCCACTGTGAGTTGGTGAACTCCTTGTCCGTCAAAAGCGAGGCGCTGAGCCTGCCCGCTGTCAGAGACTGGACCTTAGAAGATAGCTCTCAAGAACTCTGGAAATAATTTTATATATATATATAAATAATATATATATACCTATATATAAATAGATCTCTATATAGTTGTGGTACGGTCTAAAAGCAGTCTTGTTTCCTGGAACTGAAAGGTTGGGGTATTAACTTGTTTTTGCACTTTAGAATAGCATGAGAATCTCACTAATTTAGCATTCTGGTAAAAGAAACTTTAGAGCAAGTCGGAGAATAGAGAGGTGTTTTTCTTTCTTTCAAGGGGGGTAGGGGAAGTAAGCCAATAAGAACCTTTGAAACAAATCGTCCTATCACAAAATGCTTTCCTAGGGCCTATTTTGTCAGCACTGCGGTGTCTTTTGAGCTCTCTCTTTTTTTCCCACCTTTTTTTTTAAGTAGAAATTCCCTCCGGTTTTATTAGCCTCTTTATATGTCTCAAATTGCATGAATCTTTTCTGGCTGTTGGAAACCTGAATGCTTTTAGACCCAAATGGAAAATTTCTGAAATGCTGGATTATCTATTTTTAAACAAGCAGTTGACTTAAAACTTTCTGTGGCAACTTCTGGTTTTCTGACGGTTCCCAATGAGAGAAATTCTGAAAGTACACTGGGATCACTGGGACGCTGTCTTTGTGAAGGTTTGCTTGGGATGAAAAAGGATATTGCAGCTTCAGCAGTGTTGAACTGTGTGTTGAAAAATGTGAATTACTGTTATTGTATACTGTAATTGATTACATGGGCTGGGGGGGTGTCAAAGGACTTGACAGGTTGTGTTGATGCTCTTAGTTGAGTCTTGAAAAGTAAATATTAACGCTACAGAAATGCATGAGTTTCAATATATTTTTTGTCTTTGTTTGCATTGTATAACTTTAACGAGTGAGTTTAAAATTATTTAATTTCCTTAGAAAAATAGCACCATTTGGAAAAAAAAAAACCTGGTGTTATGAAGAACGTTAATGCACTGTTTTTATTTTATATAATTTAAATTGACTTTCCCACTGTCTTTAAGTTGAAACTGTTAAGCTGAATAAAAACTTAAGCTGCAAATTGATAACTTCGCTACATAACAAGGAAAATATAAATGTTTACAAAAGGCTTAAAGATTTGCATGTGCAGTGTGCATTTTATAACAAAACTTCTAATTGCACAAAACCCAGGCCAGCTCAAAGTTTAGATGTACACATTTACCCAGTTGAGCGTTTTTAGAGTAACTACTGCACAAATTGACAATAGGTCATTCTCTTTTTTTGCTCCCCTTTTCTTTTTCTCCCCTTCTTCCTTTCCCTCCCTTCCTCCTTCCCTCCCGCCCCTCCCCCATCCCCCCCCCCCAAACTCATGAAAAGATTCTATGGACTGAAAAAGCCCCAGGCTGAAAGGACTGGACTGCCTTGATTGACATGGGGAAGGGGGTTAGTAGACTATGTGTATCGCGGCAGCAGAGGCTGCAGCCCAACGTGTGGTTTTAATGACCAGCACGCAGGGCAAAGCATTTTGCACAGTGTTTGTTTTCCTGTCTTGCACTTACAAATAAGGTCTATGGGAGTAGCATGGAAAACGTTTGCTGTTTTTCCCTTTTTTTTTTTAATTGCTTTTGTTTAAAATTTGATCGCCTTAACTACTGTAAACATAGCCTATTTTTGTGCTTAAGATACTGAATGGAAAACTCCATTGTGTGTTGCTGGACTGTTTTGGAAATATTTGGTCAAATGTGTGTTAATTTGGCTGTAATGGCATTTAAAGCAAACAAACAAACAAAAAAAGCTGTGAAAATGGCCTTGGAGCATTATCTTTAGTTACTTGAAGAGTTTCTAGTTTTTTTTAAATACAGTTTATGTTAAAATAATTTTTATTAATTTAGAGAAGACAATCAATGTCTGTGAGAAAACGGACTTTCTTTTGGATTTTCTTTTTGTGGTCATTGTGAGTGATTGCTTTTTCCTTTTATTAGTTTCACATTCTTCCTTTGTTCTAAAACTTAGACTGACATCTAGCTTTGACAATCATAGTATGTTTTATTTTCCTGAGGGGGGAATAACTTATAATGCTGTTTAGTTTTGTACTATTGGTGTGTTGGTGAATTTTTAAACTGTGTGCTAACTGCAATAAATTATATGAACTGAGAATTTTTGTGTGTTTTTTAAATTGTGATTGTGTACTACATAGATCCTAAATATGTATCATACATGGCATCTCTCTTTTTAATACCAATTCTGTTCAGAGCTTATGAATTATTAGAATGCCTTAAATCACTCAAATGGAAGTGTGCAAACATTTTGCTTCTAGTCATTTAAGAAGATACTAAATGCACATTTAAAAAATGTGACCCATTTTCTATAGCCTAGATCAGGAATGTTAAGGTAACTCTCTAGAAATTTGTGAATCTGTGAAACCTCAAGTGGCAGCATAGATTTTTTGTAATGTGCTGTACAACTACTAATCCATACACCATAAGTCATATTTTCATGGGTAATTTTATCCTAAGTTGATTGGTCAAATCTATTCTTCTGTGTTCTGGTTTAAGTGGAAAATTGAAGGAGACCAGATGTCTTAATTTGGAAAAATGCTTGGCTAACGACTGGAATTCTAGGCAATCGAATTAGCAGGCATTCGACTGTTCAAGAATAGCTGTATACGTCCTCTTTGTTCCTGGGAGAACTCAAAAGTTCCCAGGTTTTAATTCCTAAGTTTTAACTAAAATGTAATTAAGTTCATGCAACCATTTAAAAAAACTGTTCCGTAATTTTTGTGATCGTCCCAACTTCATGCTTGCCTCATTGGGCTTGTCAAGGTGAGAAACGTTTGCTGGTTGACCTAAAGAATTGACAGAGCACTCACACGTGCCAGACAGTTCTATAGAGGAATTGTTAACACGCCGTCGTCCTAAGTGTGAGCACGGCTGGCACCGACCTGAGAGTTTTTGTAAATCCTGGAATCTATAATTGTCCATAACTTCCAGCCTTAAAGATACCTATGAAAATACAGTTTTACATGATTATTGTCAAAATTAAATACATTTATATTAGTGACCTATAGTAAGGTTAATATTCTTAACTTTGTTGGAAGTGGGATATAAGGTCTGGAGCTTGAAAATGTACCAGTTGTAAGTTCCCTGATGGCTTTGGATGGGAATCCCAAAAGATTGTCATAAAGCGCAATCAGTAATTTACTATTTGGGATCCTACGTTTCCCTTTTTTTGTTGAAACAGGCTTTCTGTTACATGAAACTCACTTGGTTTTAACTAACCAAACATTGTTTCACATGAAAGGGTCACAGCATCTCAAAGCTTTCTGAGGATATCGAGAGTTGTAATTTAGTTCCACTGACTAGCATCTAATTTTAAATGAGGAGCATTATCTTAACTGGATCCACTTATAAAAACAGTATTTTGACATGAACTTTGGAAGAAATAACTTCTTAAAACATTCCTCGCAAAACTAGAACAATTACACAAATCGCCACATTTGATAAGTGAAGGAATCAGTTGTTTATTCACTACACTTTTTAAAAAGGAAATTAATTTTTCACGTAATCATGTTGGAAACCATTCAGTTTGCTCTCCCCTTTGACATCGGACTGATACATAAGTATATTTTAAATATATGGTTTCATTTACTTTTGAAAACATCTGTTTCTTTTAGATGATCAATTATGCCCTAGATTAATGTGGGCCCAGCATTGTGTGCAAGGTGTACCCTAGGAGATCCAAGAAGTATGCAATGTTAAGGATACTGGTTTTGGATTTCCTTTCTAGTTAATCATGCTACCAGATTAATAGGTGAATCAAGTAGAGTTTTGTTTTTGGTTTTTTTAAAATACGCTTGTCGTAATGATCTACAAACAGGTTACTGGAAGACTAGAAAAAGGTAAACATTTTATTAAAATTATAGAGCTCACATTAAAATGGCTGAAATATTTATTTTTCAGGTAAAACAAAAGTTTTGAACTGTTATCAAAGAAAACGATTGTTTTTTTAACCCAAGAAGTAATAGTACTTAAAAAATCTTGAATCTCCCAAAAGTTTTATCACTAGAACGCAAAACATATAAAAACTTGACTTTAAAAATCCCATTGTACCAGATTAGAATTTAAAAGAAAAAAAACTCACCATCTCAAAATTTCCTGTATTGTATGACTACATTTTATTATAAAGCTTAAAACATTCTTTGGTTTCTAGTATAATGAGGGAAACTTTCACATACATCTGGATAGCAAACTCAGATAATTTTAGTTTTAATTTGTAGATATTGATCTAAATTTTTCATTATAATTGTTTCCATGTTTGAAACTTACTGATAAGGTACAGTGAATTGAGTGTGAATTTTGAAATCCAGGACCGAAGAGCTCAATCCTTCTCTTTAAAGTCATTTGCCATTAAAATGCTAGAGATAATACCATTTTTTAAAAAAAGCAATAATTTTATTTTTAAAAGCAAATAACTTTTAGTTTCATTTTGGCTACAGTCCAAGTTTACTACACTGATAGGATTTTTGTCTCTTATGTTAAAAATTTCCTGCCTTTGGCCTGCTGAAACATAGCAAAGTATCTTTTGTATGTGATCCTTTGGTCCAAAATGTAGAACCATTTATCTTTTGACTTTGTGATGCAGTTACATAGAAACATTTTATGTTTCTAGCCTTCCCCACCCCTTCTTAGATTTTCTTAGTATTATAAAAGGAGAGCTAAAGCAGTCAGATCATACTGGTGATGCTGGAGGTTTTTAGAAATATTCATTCATTTACAGAGACATTTTAGAAATTAAACTTTTAGCATTTTGCAAACTGATCCCTTAAAAATCTTTTCTAATTAATTTCTGTAACTTCTTGTGAAAGAAACTGAACTCCAAATTTAAAACATTGTAACAAGGAAGGGTGAGGTCATAGAAATGAAACGGTAACTTGAAAAGTTTTTAAGCCCAATTACTTTATAAGTATCTGCTTACACTAAATAATTTGTTGAATTAATTGTCCAGATAATTCAGGCTCATAGAATAGCTTTTTCCTAAAATATTCAAGCACTTGAAAGAAATCAGGTTTTTTTTTTTGAGAGAGAAATGAACTATCTAGTTAAGTTTCCTGATTCTATTCTAACATTTACTAATTTACTGTTACTCTTGATCCCTAGGATTAAGTGAGCATGGTACTTTCCTCTGGCTGAAGGGTAGTTTGCAAAACAATTCTGTCAAAACTAAAATGTTTCTTGAAGTTTACAGGCACTTGTCCCCCTTTTCTAATTGTCTTCAGGAATGGGTTTGCAGTTGAGCTTGCATTTTGCTATAGGAGGCAATTCTCTCTAGTTCGTTTGGCAGGAGAGGAGCAAAAACCCAATTTGGCTTTAAAATGTAGCACATTAGTCAGTAACAGTTTCAGTGAGGATATTTAGAGTGGCTTTGAGAGGCCGTGTGACACAGAGAGTCCATTCACCGAAATGACTTATTCACAGTTTATTATAATCTCTGTAGTTAATCATTAAATCAAGTAGCTTTTAGTCAATGTCCATATGCAGGCTTAATATGACTATATAGGAATTTTTAAAAGTCATATTGGCCTAAATACTCAAGTTTGTAAAAAGTATATTTGTAGTTAATATGAAGTGGTACATGGAAAAATGTATTTGAATATTTGTAAACATTTATAGGCTAGATTAACTCTGTTGTTTAAATACATAATGCATGTAAGTACAATGATACTGAAGTTGAAAGACTAGCATAGCCTTATTTACGTGTGCTGTGCCCAATCAGAGCTAACTCTTCATATGGGATAGAGCTTAGAAGAATTAACCACGTATAAGTTTAAAATATAGATTACTCAAAATGATGTATAAATAAGGACAGAGTCACCTCTTTTTAAAAAATCATACTTAGTACAGTGTGCACTTCAACTTTGAGGGGACTACTAAACACCCTGACACTTATCTGTGTACGTCTATTGCTCTGAAATGATCTGTGATCAAAGTAGGAGCATTTAAGCTTTTAATCTGAACCTTTTAAATTTGTTCTTAAAAACAGACTAAAAATTATATGTATGTATGTTTCCTGTGGACCACTTTTTGGAACTGTGTCATGTAAATGAGCTGTTTGGTAACATTGAAGTGCCTATTGCATGTTTACTAGACACACCACAACGCTTCCTAGGATGTCTATTTGGATAAGTTCTAGTAAAGCACAATGATACAATAATAGATAATTAAAACATTTAAGAAAAGCATTTATTGCTTGTGAGCCATAGCCACAGAAGTTTGTGGCATCTATTAAAAAAATCCATTTCTTCTCATTTATAACTATTTCTCTGTGTACTTAAAATCCTCATCAAATAGAAAAAATTTGAGCGTAGAGCCATATTCCAAGAAAATCTAATTTATAAGGTTATTTCTATAACTGCTTTTGAGAAAGAGGGTCTCTTACATGACAGCAGGGAGAAATGGTATAGGTTTATATTCAAAGCATAGACATTATACACATGCCCTTATTGTAAAATTTAGTATCTCTTCAGAAACCTGAAGATTTTGCAACCAAATAAATGAAAAAGAAACTGAAGGCTGGCAGATGGAATATTCTTTAGGTTTTTATTTTTGTTGAGACTCAAACTAAAATTCATACTTTATAGTCTGTTCTCTGCTTTTCTCAGTGTCCTTTTATTAATTATAAGAGGGTAAATTTTATGCATTGAGTGATTTTTGATACCATTGCACAATGGAATTTTTCAACCAAGTTGTTTTTGTGTGCGAATTTCTACCATTTTGAAAAATTGAAATAAATTTGAATGAAAACTACATTTGAGCTTGGCCCTATTTACCAGTCTGCACCAGCAAACCACATACATATATCCAGTGAGTGAGTCCGAAGCCTGCGGACCAAGGAGCTGAGGCATTTCCAGGTGCTCCTTTTAATAAACCACGTTGAACTCAATGAAATCCTTAGGTTAAGAGAAAAAAAATGAAAGGATATGTTGAGGCACAATGACGTTTTGTTTTTCACACTACGTGTGAAGTCTAGAAAACGTGGTAATTTCTCACATTCTATTTATATGTTATTTTACTTGAGGGATGCCTCAAAGCAGTAGTAGAATCTCTTATGTGCAAAAGGGGGAGGGAGGGCGGGTTTGTCATCGTTTATTCAATTTGCTTTG